AATCCTCAAAATTTCGACGAAACATCGGCGAAAAAAATGAAAATTTTATGCTTGAAACTTGCGAATGCCTTTAAAATGATCTACCTACCTACATTCTGGAGACATTCATTTTTTAAAGTAGCAGATACAGGATTTTGCATTATAAGTTGCCTCGTCGTTTGAAAAACTTCAATCAATGCAACCAGATTTATGAGCGTTCACGAAATAAATCGTAAAATTTTTAGTATTTTTTAGATTAAGTTTGACAGTTTAGTACTTTTTCAATTCACAGCTTAATGATTTGAATAAAAAAATCGGTCTTCTAAATGTATTTGAATTTTATTGAGAAAGTTTCTAAATCTACATTGCAACACTCTCGTACGAAATAGGGGTGTAAATTTGCGAGTCTCCATCCACTTTAGTGGTGTCGATTTTGAGATCCAACAATTATGTACACAGTAGAACGACTCCTTACAAAATAATATTTGTAGCCAAAAATATCAGATGAAATTACGCAATTACGTTGAGTAATTACTGTTACTCAGAATTGTACGAGCGTTGAAATTCCCAATGAACTAGTTGATTGGCCACAATTAATTTTTCAGGTAGGAAGTGAAATTGTACGAGTTATGTCATTAATTGTGAAATCCCTCGATTTGGAAATGTAAAAATATCCCCAGGTGAAACGTGCCAAATCTGGCATAACTTCCCTACATAAACCCACATTCACGTTTTTATTGCACAAGAAGAAAAGGTCAGTTGAAATCAATACCACGTAAGCCGGTTGTTGTTGTCGTGTTCATTGGTGGCTGAACATTAGACAGAAATGATCGACTTGGGAACAATAGGTGAAAGTGAATTGCTTGACATCAAATATACGTATGTACACAAGCCCACGAAAATAAGTATCACACAAGGATTGACAAATCCAGCAACAACAATAAATCTCACACACTCCTTGTATTAAACACTTCAATAGCTTAATTGAGCCGAGTTGTGCTCATTTCCTGCTTTCAAATGTTGCCATTGATTGTATTTCCAGTTATTATTAATTGTTTTCCCTTTCTCTCCATATAATAACTGAGCATAATAATCCAATTACAATATTGTGTTCATACACTTTGTCCCACATACAACAAGAAAATGATATTTGCATAATAATAATAGTAACAATAATCATAGCTAATGCCCTATTGAACAAATCCCCGAAAGTTTGTCAACAAATTTCTTCAGAGAGATTCCAGACACAAACTTTGTTATATGTACGACAAACATTTATGTACGTAGGCAGGTGAGCAGGAATTTAGTTGTGTGAAGGTACCCTATAAAGCAAACTCTTAGCTCGCGTGGTTATTTGAGACCGTACTAAATAGTACGTATCTCATTAAATAATATTCGCTGGAACTCTTTCTTCCTTCTTGAATCTAAAATAGACTTTCCAACTCGCCATCAAATGCTTCCAACGATACGATCTTAGCGACCTAATAAACATGGTATTTATGAAAAGGTGTAACAATCCCATTCATTTCGATGCCTAAAGCTTCACAACCTTTTGTTTGAAGTGCCGAGTTAAGACTTTTGATGTTTTGCTTCCTTCTGTGGATGGAAACCAAGATTTAACATTTTGATATGAATCTGATGACCTGGTCCTTTTCCTCTTGTCGAATGTTTTGCTTTGATTGCCCCACGACGACGAATGTACATATTTACTCAATGGAGAAGAAAACCTCACAACCCTGTCAGCACTATCGGAATCAATAAAATGCTCGAGTTTGCCAAGGACGATTCTTAAGTCTAATATTGACATTTTCACTGGAAAGAAAGTTTAATTATCGGTATGTTCTCGTTGCATAGCGAGTATTGCTTTATTTCCACAAGATACAAATTTCAAAGTCAACTCTGCCAGCACACTGTGAAAATATGTAAGAAACCATTGCATCACAACCACCATACTTACATAATAAGTATGTGTGTAGCAGAATCCCATTTGCCGTCCCGAGTCAGGAAAGTTTTCCTTCTTTTTGTTAAGTAAGTGTTGATTGACACTTTTTCAAACGCAATAGCAGAATGCATTACTCTTAAGCTGGAGAAGCTTTGCGTTAAGCTCCAGCTTTTAAAGTGAAGTGACTTTCACTATATATTTACCCACATTATTTACCCACACTATATTTCCCTTAGGGCTACATGAGTGTTAAACAGTGTCTGTTAAAAATAAGTTTTGCATCTCAAAGGTAAACACAAAGAAATGTAAAGTAGTCGGTTGAAACCACGTCTCAACTCAGAAACTGGGGAAAAAATATTGGAAACTATTTCAAGTTGGAGAGAAATATTGAGATCAAAAGTTACAAAATAATTTCGTACTTACGTGGATTCTATATTAAATAACTAATCAAAATTCAAAAATGGGCATCTTTCGTATTATTGACATTTTCTTGAATTCTTTCAGCTTCGACATGAAACCGTCATGTCGAGAGAGTCATTTCCAGAGATAGAAATATATACGTGCATTTCATCCTCAAAGTTTGTATGGGTTTTTCTCTGCAAATAATTTGAGAGGACAATTTGTCTTTTTACATTCAAAACTTGAAGTTACCTTCACTACGGGAAGAAAGAAAGCTCATTTGGTTTCTGCTTCTGTGTTTCTCCTGAGGTCTTTTGTAGGATTACTTTTCTTCGTCTTCAGAAAGATTTACGTTTGCTTCTTGTATAATCCTCTTCTCAATTTGCTCTGATATTTAATGTTTTGCCGTGACAGGTTACATTTGCATTCATTTGCATGTTCGAAGATGTTGCCTGGTTGTCCTTGTCGGAAGATGAGGTGGGTTCAATTGTACGGATAGGAGAATAAGGAAATCTGTATACATATGTAAATACACACTTACGTAATTCCATTCCCCGTAGTTGTACAATCAAATCTTTTTTTTAAAATACGACGAACGTGTCTTTTTCAGCGTAAATTTTGCACATTTTAATTAAGAAGTAAAGAAAAACTCTAGATTTTTTTTACTAAATTTGATTAATCTTCCGAAATTTTGCTACCCATTTACGAATTGCGTACAAAGTGAAAGTTAAAGCAAGTTTAATCCATCTGCGTAGCTTTATACGTGCAGCGTAAAGTTCAGGAGGGTTGATAATGTCATGAATTTATAGCTATTATTAGTTTCTGAAGAAATTTTTACAAAATGATGCGGTAACATTCTCTCCTCACGTCTCCATTAGTCTGGTTTAGTTCTTTGGTAGAGTGAAATCTCGTGTCTCATCTGCAACAACTTTGATGGGTCGTTGCTGATTTCGAATTTCCAACTAGTGACGTGACATATCTTTTCCATCTATGCAAATGCTTAGAAACCTCCTCCTCACAAAGCCGGAGGATCTTTGCTCCAGTCACAAGTCGCTCGTATATTTAATGGTTGAAACAACCTCACTTACAATTCTCGGAGGAATTCTCTCATGGGAGCGTTGCATCAATATTTCATATTTCCAACACTCTCGACCTCCTCCTCGTCGACTTTTTTATGGGCTATACGCACCTGTACCTACTTATAATCAGTCTCGCCTAGTATCCCATTTGCAGCCATCCGTTTTATGGTATTTTTGTCAATAACTATAACAAATTAAATAAATGTACTACGTCGCCTCGAACACAAAGATTCCGAGAGACTTATGTAAGCCGGGTTTATACTTTACCCGTTATCAACTTACGTCAAAGTTATACTGTGACGCAAGCTAGCAGGGAGTGAAGTATAAACGCAGCTTTAGAAACCAGGGTCGAAGATAAGGACTTGTGAGATTTGGACTGAAAAATTGCATTGTTTGGGAATTCACGGAGACAAATGTTACATTTTTACGCAACGACGTTTGCACAATATTAACAAGGATTCGTCACAATATCATAAAAATGACTTTGTAGAGTAAGGAAAACCTGATGGAAGTATATTTACTTGGTATATAACCACCTGCAACTTTGCCTGACCCATGGAAAACAAGTGAGTAATTCGAATTTGAGTCGTAGGAGAAAGTAAGTTTTTTTGTCAGATCGGTTCGTCTCAATCTTGAGCAAAGTTTGCACTTTGTTTTCTGAAGGACAAAGATGTAGAGGATAGTTAATGTCGTCTCTCTCGTCGTTCTGTAAACCCTCATCTCCTCCGCCTGCAGATAAGCACCGCATTCCGTAGTCCAATAGTAAGCAGGCCAAATCAAACATATCTCGCCAAAGCTTAGAGTAATAGTCGCATCAATTAAATTCAGATTGGAACAGTCGTAACGTAATAGCTTTAACATTTGAAGTTGTACATGACCCAATTTTGCATTTCGGAGAATAAATGATTTTCTCCACTTTCTAACCGTTCCGAATTAAGCTCTGTGTCTGTCACAATAGTATCAAAGAAAGAGAGAAAAGGAGAGAGAGAAAGCGAGTTGAGAAATTAGTTTGAAAGAAACAATTATTACTCATACAAAAGTAAAGTCATATCACACCGGACTTTGATCCCTGGTTGTTCCTTCCTAGTGAATGGTTTCATTAAACGACATGCATAAGTCAGTGAACACGAGAGTTCTTCACATTTGACAATGCGTCATTTGAAATGCTCATCTGAGTTTGAGTGGGCTGAGCTGAGCTCACCGAAAATTAAAGTTTTAGTTGTGCGGTGTTTAAGGAGAAAGTGGTTGAGTTGTTAGCCTAACCGCTGAAGCCACAAAACTCTGCGTAGGTTTTTCGTTGAGGTAATCATAAGTAGGCATGGGCATTCCTCAAGGGATACCATTTTCAATGAGACGATTGCACGCGATGAGGAGTTTTGGGATAAAGTGACAGGTTGTGGGTAGAATTTTGGACGTCCATTATTTTGTGAATTTGAACAAATGGCCGGCCGTTATTTTACGTCACACCATCGCCCTCCGAGGTCACTGAGGAGGGATGATGGTTGACAAGTAGTATGTAAGTTCACCGGCAGGGAAAGGCGTATTTTGAAGCAAAAAGCATAGAACAAAGTAAAAAACTCCTTCTTCCATGCACACGCGCGCCACCACCAACCCTCAGTGTTGGTTCATACGCGGCAGAGGAAGGCAGCTCACGTTTTCGCTCTCTCCATCCAAAATGGCTTCCAGTAAAGAAGAAAATTCGGAAATTATAGGAAATTCACAAAAACGGTAAGATATTTGTGTTTATTTTTCCTCCGCCGCGTCGCGCAAACGCTAGGTTTTTCGATTAGTGAAAATTTTATTAATGCGCTGCATTAATTTATATTGTTTTTAATTAAATAGAAAAATTGGAGAGGAAGATTCTCCAGAGAAAAAGAAACCAAAAAATGAAAAAATTGGCCTAAGATCACTGTCGCAGACAGTGCATCAAAATTCCGAAAATATTTCTAAGCTCGTTGAGTTTTTTGAAAACATGATTGGCCAGTCGCAGGCGCAGCCTCGACAAAATAATACCTGCCACGTAGTGGATGTTGGTAATGAGGATGATCCAATAACAGATCTTTTTACCTCAATTGTTGATAAATCGCCAAATGGTGAGTACAAAAAGAAATGAATTTCATTATTTAAAAATTGGGAATATTCTAAACATTGAAAAAATTATGATTTAAATCATAATAGATGAATCTGCTGATCAAAATATTGAGATTGAAAATCCAATTGTTGAAGAAATATTGAATTCAAATCAGTCGGAGGATGAATATGGCCCTCCTTTAGGATTGAAAGTAGCAGCAGCATTCAAACGATTAATTGCTCAGCCAGCTTCAAAAGAACACATTGATCAAAACAAGATCAAATTAAAGATCCCAGAAAACATTAAAGAAATGAGGGCACCCAAAGTCAATTGTGAAATTTGGACTCAACTTCCTAAAAAAGCTCAAGTTATTGATGCATCACAACAATTTGTTCAACAATTTGTTTCAAGAGGTTTAGTAGCCCAGTCACATCTTGCTGAAGTTTTAGCAAAAAATTCAGATAAGATTCCCAATGATTTATTGAAAAGTTTACTTTCTTGTTCAATGGAAGCCGCAACAGAATTTGATATGGCTTTTAGAGAAATTAGCCTCAGGCGACGACAACAAATTAAACCCTTTTTGTCAATCGAAAGTGCTGGAATTTGTGGATCTTCAGTTCCGGTCACCGAAAACTTATTCGGAAATAATTTAGAAAAAGATTTGATTGCTGTCCGAACATCGGCCAAAATTGTGAAGAATTTGACCCCCATCTATCGTGGAGGTGCTCGTGGAACTTATGCAAGAGGTTCATGTAATCGAGGGTCGTTATCTAATGCTGGTACTAGCCATAATTTAAACTTCCGGGCGCCTCTCCTCTCGAGGGGAGGCAGACGACCATTCAACCGAGGAAGATACAACAATTACCGCCCGCAGAATTAAATGTGAGTAAATTATCAGGTAGATTAAGATTATATTATGATAAATGGGCGAATTTGACTGACGACCCTGTTATTCTTGAAATTGTTCGGGGTTACAAACTACCTTTTAAGAATTTACCAGAGCCACAAATTAATTGTAAGGTTCAAGAATTTAATCCGGAAGAAAAGCTATTTATTATCGATGAATTGGACCGCCTAATGAAAATGGGGGCAATATCTCTATCTGAAGAGGAAAGTGATCAATTTGTATCTCCAATCTTTACTGTCCCTAAACCTGATGGAAAAAGACGATTCATCTTGAATCTTAAGAAACTGAATAGCTATTTACACTGTCCACATTTTAAAATGGAAGATTACCGAAGCGTATTGAATATTATGAGATTAAACATGTTTATGGCCACAATAGATTTACAGGATGCGTATTTCCACGTTCCTGTTCATGACAGTTGTAAAAAATATTTAAAATTCCGTTTCAATGGTATACTTTATCACTTTAATTGTATTCCATTTGGTTGTTGTACTTGCCCATTATTATTCACAAAGCTCTTGAAACCAGTTTTCGAGAAACTTAGAACATTAGGCTATCAATCCGTGAGATATTTGGACGATTTTTTGTTATTTGGTCAAACATTTGAATTATGCAGCGAGAATGTTCAGGCCACCCAAAATTTACTCAAAAGTTTGGGGTTTACCGTAAATTATCAAAAATCGGAATTACTTCCAAGTAAAGTAATTAAATATTTAGGATTTATTTTTAATTCCTTAGAAATGACCATTCAATTAACTCCGAACAAGCGTTCTTTAATTTTTGAATTTGCACAAAAATGTTTGTTATCTAAATCTCTAATTATAAGAGAGGCAGCTAAATTGCAAGGATATTTAATTTCAGCGTGTCCTGCAGTACAATATGGATTATTGTATACTCGGAAATTAGCTTCCGATATTCAATTCTCTTTAGAATCAAATAATGATAATTATCAAAATCGTATGACTTTGTCTCAAGAAGCAGTTTCGGATATTCACTGGTGGCAATCAGTAATACATAAAGCTGAGGTTTCCATAAAAGAGGACAGTTTTAAAAAAGTGATTCACACTGATGCGTCACCTTTTGGGTGGGGCTGTTTTTGTGACAATGACGTTTCTCACGGCACTTGGTCAAAATCTGAAGAGTTATTACATATTAATGCATTGGAACTGTTAGCAATTGAGCGAGCACTGACTATATTTGCAAACGATGAAGGAAATTGTAATATTTTGTTAAAAGTTGACAGTCAAGTTGCAATCTCGTATATAAACTGTTATGGTGGTTGCCGCTCGGAATTGTTGCATGCAATTGCTAAAAGAATCTGGCTATTTTGCGAGAAGAAAGATATTTTTATTAAAGCTACATATTTAGAAAGTAAGAAAAATGTAGAAGCTGATTTTGCTTCTCGTATTGAAGTAGTTAATTCGGATTGGATGCTAAAAAGTGTCATTTTATCGCAATTTGTAATTCATTTGGCGAGCCAGCTTTAGATTTATTTGCGTCAAAGAACACAAATCAGTGTTCGAGATTTTATTCGTATTCTCCTGATCGGAACTCGGAAGGGGTTGATGCATTTACGTTTAAATGGTCAGAATCCTTGTTATATGCGTTTCCCCCATTTTGTCTAATTTCACGTGTCCTGAAAAAGATTTGCAATGATAAATGTAGATGCATTGTGGTGGTGCCACTTTGGAAAAGTCAGGTTTGGTATCCAGAATTTGAGAGGCTGCGTCAGTCAAATTCGCTTATATTTGGACCTGAAAAAGATTTGCTAACTTCACCTTTTTCGAATAGGCACCACCCTCTTCACTCCAGCCTCAAATTAGTAGCAGCAATATTGCAAGACGTTCATTCATAAACAGTGGCCTTAGTTCAGATGTTTGCGAACTTTTACTTTCATCCTGTGCGTCATCCAGTTGGAAACAATACGAATCGTACTTGAAACGATGGGAAAATTTTTGTAATAATTATGGTTCAGACATATTTCATTCTAATTTACAATCGATTCTGAAATTTTTGACCGCTTTGTATAAGGATGGCGTAGGCTATAGCGGTATTAACACAGCAAGATCAGCTCTGTCTTTAATTATAGCCCCCATTGACGGTGTTGACGTTGGTAAACACCCTCTTGTAATTCGATTACTAAAAGCTGTTAGCAAATTACGGCCACCGAAACCTAGATATGATAATGTGTGGGATGTAAATTTAGTTTTGGATATGTTCACTTCATGGCCGTTAAATTCAGAGCTGCCTATATTTAGGTTAGCCATAAAATTGGTAGCGTTACTCGCTTTGGTCACGGGACAAAGGGTACAAACCCTGTCGTTAATTAATATAAATAATATCATAAGGTCAAGTAATGTTCAGATTCTTATTCCTGAAATTATTAAAACTTCTGGGGTTGCGAAGAAGCAACCGTGCTTGTTATTGGTCCCTTATAAAGTTAATGATAAGTTATGTGTTGTTAAATGCTTAGATGAATACTTAAATCGTACTGCTAGTTATCGTAATTCTGATGAATTATTAATTAGTGTAGTTTTACCATATAAGCCTGTTACAAGCCAGACTATTAGTAGATGGCTAAAAGAATGTTTGTCATTAGCTGGTATTGATGTTTCTATTTTTAAGGCTCACAGTTTCCGTCACGCTAGCACAAGTAAGGCGGTAGCAAAGGGGGTCAGCTTAGATGTCGTTTTTTCTAGAGCTGGTTGGTCTGATAAATCTAAAACATTTGCAAAGTTCTACAATAAGCCATTAGATTTACGAGGTGAATTTTCGAATGCTATATTATCATAATTAAGAGTTACAAATAAATTCGTATATGTTTTTGTACTTATCTATGTATATATATTTTTCACTCGTCAAAGTTTCTTTGAACGGCTACTTGTCAACCATCATCCCTCCTCAGTGACCTCGGAGGGCGATGGTGTGACGTAAAATTGACGATTAATCGAGACTTACCTGTAAGGTGAGAAATTGATCGTAATTTTACGATCACCAGAGCCCGAACGAGGTCACTCCCGACCCTCCCTCCCGGTACTTTGACTCGTGGCGTTGGGGGTATTTCTTTGAACTCACTGAGGGTTGGTGGTGGCGCGCGTGTGCATGGAAGAAGGAGTTTTTTACTTTGTTCTATGCTTTTTGCTTCAAAATACGCCTTTCCCTGCCGGTGAACTTACATACTACTTGTCAACCATCATCCCTCCTCAGTGACCTCGTTCGGGCTCTGGTGATCGTAAAATTACGATCAATTTCTCACCTTACAAGTAAGTCTCGATTAATCGTCAATTTTATTTGATCTATTGTGAAATTCTGATTTCCGATTTTTCACCATACATAGTTTAAATTTTAAAGTGAATAATGGATCAATTTGATTTTGCTTTAATTATTCGTATTTTGTAATCCCACGCTTTCTTTTTATAATTTTTCTAACTCGTTTCTGCGAATTTATATCTGAAATATTCTAAATTTTATGCTAATTCAGTACACATCGCAGAAGGAAATTTAGGTACAATCGCCACCGCTGAAAATTTCTAGATAACGTAACTCGACGTGAGTACCCCTTCCTGTAACAAATTGCGGAATTCGGTCGAAATGACAAAATACTTTTAATCATTTTAATGAAAATACAAAAGTTTGAAAACTTGGTGTGTGTAATTGATAACTGATGTTCTTCTACAGAGTTCATTTGTCTCTTGTGGTCAAATTACCTCGAATAGCACTGAACCACACGACGTAGTAGTTCAAAGTATGGTTTACTTACAGTTGTGGCTGGCAAATGAAATATTTAATTTTCACAAAAACTTTAGTACGCTTATCTATAAGCCTAATCAAGAGAAGGAGAAATTATATAAAATAAGGCAGAACATTTTTTTTTAGTCTATTCCGCTTTTGTATCCAGGGAAAGAGAGTAGTAAATTTATGTACTTCCCTAGTTCATTCGTGACAATTGGTCGCATCGTCATTAAATTTCCTAAAACCTGAAGATTTTATGTGTAATCACCAGTTGATGGTCCACTTTAACTCAAATTACCACATTCAAAGTACAATCGTGGATAAAACTACTGTGCACAATTGAGACAATTAAAATTCTCATATGGGATGAAAACAGCTTCAAATTTGTTTACCTTCTGTACATAAATTTTTAATTCCATTGAGCAATTGAGTAAAGTCATAACTTTGGTATTGAAACAATGGCACGCAGCTCCTAAGGAAATTATTACCTTTGCCATTCTTCATAATCAACTTGATTATGATTAAAAAGTTACGTTGAAGACTTTTATTTGTACGGATATGAAAACATTATGTGCATTCTTTTACGGACTGGATCAAAAAGTATGGGAGGCCTGAAGGGTGTCCATGTGCAATGATCCTTCTACGCGTCATGTTTTTATGATTTTTTTTATATAAAATGCATCTTTGAAGAGAAGAGTGACATTTCCCAAAAAAATCTCTTTGTGGTTCACTCACAAATGAAGGAAAACCTAGTGACTGTTGACTTTGCAAGTCTTGGAAAGAAGGACGAAGAGGTTTTGAAGTCTAATAATATATGTATGGAGTTGGCAAAGGGTTTTTGCGGGTTACCATCTAGTACGTTCAAAGGCTGGTTGTTTTCCTTCTTCATCTTCTTCGCCCAACACCCATGGGAAAGTCGAGCATTGTGAATGAAAAGTGGTGTAAAAGGATAAAATGCCACCTAAAACAAATAATGTCTTCCTTTGTGTTTATATTTCAGTCGATTCACTAATAAAGTTCTGAAAGTATTATTTGATTCCTGCGTTTGCATGAAAAATAGGAAGTTGAGTCGTGAAAAATCAATAGGGTTTTACTCGTCAGGAGTAATTTATGTAATAGTTGTTTATTATCAATAACTGGTCACAGTGGTCACACACAATTTTTGGAGGTAACTAATCTTAAATATTGCTGAAAGCCATAATTACAATGTGTACATTTAAAGATTTTGTGATTGATAGAAAACAAGGGATTATATGAAGTCGCAAATAATAAATTTCAGGATGGAACATAGGTAACAAATAACAGTCACTGTTTTTCCTTAGATGCTGAAATTTCAATAGAAGTGCACAATGAGCGACTGAAAAAAAGTGCCCCACTTTCTTCCTTGTTATCACACATTTCGTTGGGGTGGTCGGATAAGTATTAATGACCAAATGAACTTTCCTTGGAACAAAGTTGTCTGACCTTTCACTTGTAATTGTTGAATCATCCATCTCAATCGTAAGTTTACAAAGTTTGTAATGTGAGGTAATTTCAAGTGTATAATAAACTGCTATTTGGTTAGCAAAGAATTAATAAACTTTTCGTATGGATTATGCAAACCCAGGGCTTTTGCCACCAGCAAGGCCACAATCACAGAAAACTTTAGTATCGGAATGCCAATTTTGTGAAACTTGCCCTTGCATTATCTCTCTGTTGATGTACATAGTTGGCCTTATGATTTGCACTTGCGGTTGTATTCCCAAACTATGAGGTAGTAAATACATAGGTATCGTTGGTCTAATGTATGTATATGTGTACCTTGTTTACGACTGGATAAACTTGAAAAGTGTGACAAAAAGAGTCGTCTTGTATCATCCTACCGGTTATGATGCACATAGTCAGACAAGCAGCAGACACACGATGATTGTCCCAATTTCCTATAAATATTCCACGCTAGAAAACTCGTAGTTTTACGGGCAATTGGTGACATTACTGGATCAGAATCACTGTTCCAGTCTAATCCAGGAATGCCATATTACATAATGTAATAAAGCATGTGATAACTACGTAGTCTGTCGTCGAGGAGTCTCTTATGGGACAATTGGCTTCGTTATATTTGAATTGGATTTAGTTGAATTATTCGGCAAAGAAGTGGAGAAGAGTCCATCGAACGAAGGTACTTAAGTTTACTTGAGTTCAATACTCGATTTTGAAACCATTGACCACGGATAATGCGGTCTGTGCCATATTAAATGGGAGCAGATGTGTGAATTCAGCACTCGAAATCACTCAATCGTGTGTTAATGAGCACTATAGATGGTTATAATAAAATATATAATGCTCCACTATTTATTGGCAAGTGCATCGATGGGTAAAGCTACACACACGTTATAAATATCGGTATATTGTATGCCTAACAATTGTAAATGCAAATTTGCAAACATGTGTCGAACAGAGGGAAAGATAATAAAAAAGGGTTGGCAATATATGTGATGGATGGTGAAATGTGAAAATAAACTCAGACTGAGGAGAGAGTGCGTGTCTAATATTTTTGTTCTGAGTGTGGGATATTGTTTGCAAGGATAATAAGATCCACATTTTGTGACCATATTGCCGAACAAAATTATTGACATCCATCACGCAAAATTCAGCTCTGTGCCTAATTTCGAGACGAAATGTTCATAAATTTGGGTGGTATTGTAGTATTGCGATGGTGGGGTGAATAAAATCAGGTCCTGTTGCGTCATCTCAACACTTCAAGATTTCGGCTTATGTAACAGAACACAGCACACACGTTGCACAATTCAAAGTGGTTTTGGAGGGTTTTTGGTCAAGGACTAATTATTCACTAAACTGCATCAATTGTACGTTCACATGGATCTTCGTGTTATTTCGTAATGTTGATGATTTCCAATTTTGCATGATAAGGAAAACTGTACACAATTTGGACTCGTTTCGAAATAAATTCGGTATTTTCGAAACGATTTTCTGCAACTAAAGGTATTAAATATATACTTTAACACATGCATGCATACATATATAGACCTAGATACATATGTACACATGCATGTATGCATGCATGTACTTCCTTATATCTAATGTCCACCTATGATTAAGTTTGAACCCTTACTTCACATATTAACTGAATTTGGGGAAATGTGCCGATAAGTAATATTATGCAATCATTTGGTCAACATTCTAAAATCTACTCAATATTTGGATATTTGGAGAAGGCGAATAATGAAGAAGAAAATACGAGAGGGGTCAATTCAATAATAAGAAACTAAAAATATACATGTAAATCAGGTAACTTGATCCTATTGTGAATACTAATACTAAAAATAAGTTCAATACTCTTGCACGTACATATAAGGCATGCAACACAGCAATCTGTTGGATGGATTGGTAATCAGATTGATACATAAATGTCGGATGGAATAGCTACCAAAGCAAAATCAATATCCTTCAGAATCGCCAATTAATGCCAAAACACGAATGTTTAAATTATCTTCGCACATATAATAAGCCGTCTTCACTTTAAAAAATCCAAGTTCATACTCGTGCTTGATTTATAAGAGTCAAATGCTCAAACTAGTCGCACGAGGAGCAATGCAGCAACATGATGTGACGTGTTGTTTGTTAAAATTCTCAAATAGTTTACTTCCAACAATACCACCCAACCGTTCCAGTGAATGTAAATATTACACTCGCACGACGGAATACTGCTTAAGGTTTTTTTAGTCTAGGAAGGAGGGCTTGCTGCAAACAGCTCGCAGAAATGGCGAATTTATATCGCGTCGTATCTCAGTCAGTCAGTTCCACGGACTTTATAAATCAAACCACGCATGAAAATGATTTCAGTTTTTACAAAATCCTTGTGTTTATGTGAACGTGCTTCGATCCTTACAAGCTTCCAGCATTATTATTTACATCCCCCAGGCAGGGCTCTCCATGTTCCAGGTAATGGAAACCGTGGTAAAAAAATGAGGTGTAGAGTGCTCTTAAATAAAACGTCATGAACAACGACCTCAGTAATAACACTGTTGGACTGGATGGTTAAAAAAGCATAATTGGGTTGCCATCTTTAGCAGCAGCATTTGGTGCACAAGTTTTCAGTTGCCATTTACTTCTGGCAGGAACTAGTGTTAAGTTAAATAAGCGGCAGAGAAGCAGAAGAATGGGCCACGAAAGAAATATCTCATTACTCAAGACCGCCTGAAATTTATCCCCAAATGAAGAGTTGATTACAAGGAAAGAATTCTTGGCGTGTTTCTCTTTGCCACTGTGAAATAAATGTATTTATCTCCATTTATAAACTAAACATAAGAATATTGACGTTAAAGTTGGACAGATTATAAACTAGTATCCACTTGCTTTTTTGCTACGTCTGGCGGCTGGGATGGCTGGAAGTGAATAATTAGTTTGCCAGTTTTCGCATAGTACTGGTATTTAGCAATATACATTCCATCCCGAGTGAACGAGTTGGAATGCAAACCGTTGCATTGGACAGTTTTTAAAATATTGAATAAATTTAAAAGTCGGATTATTTCAGAAAGTTTGACAGTATCATTTGATACCAGTGTTGCATTCCGGAAGGCAAGTTGGTGGTGCATAGACACTCGTCGGACTAGATATGAGAATCTCGACTCGAAATGCGCAGAGTTGAGACTTGGTTGATGCTGTATTTGTGCCATATTTGCTGGTAAGATTAGAGGGAGAAAGTATTCATACATTTTCTTCATTGAAAGTAAGAAATCAAAGCAAACACTAGAGTAACGCAATCTATTTCGAGACCTTCACATATGTATTTCTACTTTTTTGTCCCACTTACTTTCGATCCCACCACAGCTAGAAATACCGATATTTGCGCCGTGATCTTCTCTTCTTTGGATAAATTCAGCTTCTCGATTTTATATTTTATGTCATTTTCTACATCGTATCGAAACATCTGAGTGGCGTTTTGGTGTACAATCTTTCTTGCATCTTTGTTGATGACGCGAACGGATGTTGACTTAATCTGGAGGATATTTGCAACATATAACCAGAAAAGAGTTAAAATGTGCATCATCTCCTGGACTGTGGATGTAGTAGAAGAAGTAGTAAACAGTCGGAGAAGGAGTGTGGACTCGAGTAAATATTAAATGGTGAAAGGCGGATTTCATATTTTATAGTGGGTCTCAACCTTTCACATAAAATATCAGCATGTGGGAACATTGTCGGGTTGAGTTGCCAAGATTGTTTAGTTGGTTTACTTACCAAAGGCCACAACACAACCTGCCTGGACCAAGAATATTAATCCCAAGATAAAACAAAATGATAATGATGCATAGTAATGAATTATGTGATGTGTACCAAACCGCAGTGGTGATCGTGGGGGTCTCCTTCTATAGGATAACGATATCTGTGTAATCAAACTGCATTATTTAAATTATTTATTATGGAAATATACAATTTATAGGGGAAATTCTACTTGGCGGATGCCACTTCTGAGGCAGCATTAATCCAATTCTATTCATTTCTTAACTTTCTCTTTTAGAGTAGGAAATAATTCTGGCCTCAGTCGGTTATAAACTTTTGAATGGATGTAGGAATATAGGAATATATGAGTTTATGCATAGTAAACGTGGCTCTCTGAATTGAAATGTAAAATTTGAGACCATGCAGGTAGCATTATGATCCAATAACTTGAATTCTACTTTGTTCAAAGCAAGGAGATTCTATTCTTGCTGATCATGACACTCCATTTTGATTGGACTTTGCTCTATTTTTCCCACTTAACATGGAAATTAAACTTTACAATGTGGTTTATTTTGCAGACGAAGAATCTGGGTCGCTTCCCGTTGTTTGGAGATAATCGAAGAAACCCGTCACATCCGTAAAGAAAATCCAATCGTCCAATTTCTCGCTCTCCTTGGTACAAAAGAAAACCACTTTCTTCGTCAAGAACAAATACAAGCTGTCACTCACCGAAAAATCCTCTCCTGTTCGGCTCTGTCGTGCTTTCTTTTGACTAGTCTTTTCCCACCAGGCCCTCATAATGTGTGAATATCATTACAAGATTAGTGCTGTTGCTCCCTACGTATAACCAGTCCTGCATACCGACATCGCATACATAGACAGACGGATAGATTGAGAACAAATATGCACCACTTTAAAAACCTGGGTAGATTTGTAAATTACTCTCAGCCCGAGAAAACCCGGAGAGAATAGGAAGTGCGAGGAAGTGAAAGTAAAGGGATCACGAATAATAATAATCGGAGAACCTGTGGCTGTCTTGACTTTTGGTTTAATTCGGGAAAGCCCCAGGAGTTGATTTCCTTACCACAGCGGAGAAAATGAGAAAGTGAGAGGAGTCTCTCCCCACCCAGCAACAGCATCAGGCAAACAAAGACTACTTACATGCAACCTTAAACTTTGGAGAGATTTCCCAGATTTTTGTTCATATCTGGCGGAAACAGGAATCTAACCCAATCCGCTCAAAATAACTCGAGGGTTGTTCTTCCCCTGATCAATTTACATACCCTTGACTCTGATGTGCGTACGTGTGGTGCTGAAAATAAATGTGGACAGAGAGAAAAGAGACATCTATTCAAGTCTTCATAGCGTTGTGGTGCTGGAGAGTGCATAAGAAGTGAGTAAAAAAAGGATAAGCAGCAGTACTTCTTGAGATAAAAGAATTTGCACTGCTTGATCTACTCGAACTTGCTTCCCAATCTCCGTCAATCCACTTCTGGATCTCAAAAACTTCACCTTTTTACTTCTCAATGATCGGCATCTTTTTTTCTTCTTGCTGCCGTGTCTGGTTCAGGTGAAACTGAAATGAAGTTTGAACTTTGGATGCGAGACAGTTTCTACGCGTCAAGCTTTTTCTGTGCAGTGCAAATGTACTGCTGGTGAAAACAAAGGAAGGGCAGTTATCGGACCACCAGACACAACCACCCGACACCATTTTTGACGTCAACTAATATTTCACCCAGAAATAGGAAGTGGAGAAAAACCTTTCAAACGGAGAGTGCTATCAAAGGAACATTGTGCTTTTTTCACTCTGAGAAAGTGACATAAGTTAATAACTTGACACCTTTGTCATTCCGTGGTATAAAGTGCGAGGAAACCTCAGCTTCTGGTAATGAAATCCAGTTTCCATAAATATGCCACAAAATTAAATGTCGCTCAGGATAAAATGCTGACGTACGAGGACGACGAGGAGTGAGTGAAAGTACGTGTGAATAAACTACGCTTTGTACATTTGATTGAAATTGAAACCTTGCAATTTCGTATTACGAATTGTCAGAGATTTTGTCAATTCAACGTAATCTAGACTTGAAGCCTCAACCACACAGGATTCTAAAGTAGTCGTATCACAGCATCGCCCCAAGTGAGACGTTCACTCTCACTTTCCCCACCCAGTAACCCAACCTTCGCAAAAGTGAGAGACATGGTCAGCCTGAACAACCATTTGTTCGACATGGCAAATATAACCAGCAGATTTTACGAGGAGGGGTACGCTGCTGCTGGTGATTCTGATCATCATCACCCCAATGCTCCAAATTTTCTCAACAATCTCAACTTATCGTGGGAAACAGAAAACAAGTATTACAACGTCAACTTGGACGAGTTCTCAACTGAGATGGGGTCACCGAGTGATCCCTTCCCGACTCCTGGAGATACCACGGCGTCTTTGGGATGGGGAGACCTGGCACTCGTTTCTCTCTTTTGTTCCATCATTGCTGGAACTGTGGTAAGTTTGTGTCCCGTTTTTTTACAATATGCTTTCACCTAGAACACTGAACAAGTAAATATTATTTTTTGAGTTTTACCACCAGACTGCACCTCTTAAAATATAATTTTCCCATGTATCACAGCCCTTATAAAAGTTAAATTACGTCTGCTAGTGCTGTTACATGCACGTAAAAATAGAACCAATCGGATTACAATTCTTTGCATTCTTTGCCCAACTCCTTCCCCATATTTTTTAGGAAACCACATATGTACGAGTGGCACAATAAGTAGGTAATTGAGTAAAGACCCTAAAATTAGCCTGCATAATGCTCGACCTGATATTTCAATGGTGGCAAATTGAGAAGATTATTACTCCGTTTTGTCATTTGTGTGATGCGCGTAGCAGCAGAAGGAATCCTTCAAAAGAACAAATCATTCTGTTCTGAACTCAAAGGATTCTTTTGACTGGCTTTCATTTGCCAGTTTTCTCTTTTCTTGCTCTTTTCTTACCTCTCTGTTGAGTTTAAAGCTCTAAAAAAAATCTGGACAAGCTCTCCTTTTTCAATTTGACATGTTGGTATCTTATTTTCATTAAGGTGGATTCATCTCATACCTTTGTAGCCAAACCTTGCTGTACATTTATAAGAAAGTGATACTCTTGAAGAAAAGAGTAATTTGAAGGGACGTGAAAATGCGTCGGTGTTCCAGTCGAAAGCTTATATAACATGTTTTCAACTTTAATCCACAGCTTTCTGAACGGTCCTCACTTTCTCCTGACTTTATTTTATATACGTTCTGGCTGCTTCTTGATCATTAATTGGATCAGAGTTGGCGGATCTCTCGAGCTTAAAACGTAATCTAATTTATATGAACTGAAATTGCAGGCAGGCAATACTCTCGTGATTGCAGCAGTTATCACCACTCGGCGACTCCGTACCGTGACCAACTGCTTCGTCATGTCCCTGGCAGTGGCAGACTGGTTGGTCGGGGTATTCGTAATGCCACCCAAAGTGGCGCTCTACCTTGTCCGTAAGTAATTTTTATACTAATTGTTACAGCGTCCCAATTCTTCTCTCGACCTGGAAATGACAATAATGGTTATCGTTCACATTACTCGAGTCCGTGTCAATCAGTCAAATTGCTGTTCTATGTACCATTTTAGTGCCAAGTGTGGGAATAGGACTTGTTTTTCTGTCACTTATGCTGCCTAATTGTCTTGAAGTATGTACGTAGTATACACACATTGCTACTTATATTCTGAATGGCTACCCCGTCACGAGAGACATAAGATGATTGTATCATGACAACAATTAAGTATCAGATCAACTTAGGTGCCCATTACGTATGGATTGAGATCAGAGTTCCAGATTGTCAAAAAGTAACCAACCCATCGTCAGTGGTAGACTGTTTACTCACGAATTGTACAAGGTTCTCCCACCCACGACGACGACGACGACGACGAGTTATGAGTTATGAATTATTTACTTGCCAAACTAAGCTTAACTACTTATAGGTTGCGGTAAGTCGTCGTCGTTGTCGTACTAAAGTGGTAAGTTTGATTTTCCTGCGCAGCTTGTTTGTGCAGGGTTACATTATCCGTATGTCGGAACATAGGAACATGGTAAATATATCTTCATTTATTTGCACTAATGAAGATTAGCTTGACATTTAGTATCACCACCACCACCACGGGCACGACCTCCGCGGTAATGATTTTAAGGCTTTGGTAACCTATTCTTCAGTCACCCTCGCGTAATGAATGGAGGAGTTTGAACATCGTACTTACTTAGGACTTACTTCCTTAGTTGGTTGGTTAGTGAGAAAGGCTCTCGCACTTGACACACCTTGAAAGAAGAAGAAGAAATAAACCTGAGAACGGAAAAGGAAAGGAGCAAGTTTTATCGCATGTCTTTCTTCCATCATCATCGGCGATGATTCCTCCGGTGAAATAATTTTGGCAAACAAAGCCATTCTTTTCTCCATCTGACCCACAATATAACCTTGAGCTACACGATTTTTTCATGGTGATTGATCTTGTGATTTGCTCTGAATCTGAATGTTTTCTGTCGACATGGCCCGACCCATCATCATCATGATCGCCTATGATCTCTTGGTGCATCAGATCGTAAAAAACCAGGAGTGCCTCTTAACATTCTGCATTTCAAGGACTACTTTTTGTAGATCAAATGAAAGTAAGCGGAGAGAAGAAGAAGAAGAAGAGCCGGACTTTCTCCTGCTTGCTTGACTTTCAGTTGAACTATTTCTACAAACACAGATCAGCCCGTGTTTCCATCCTGCCTGCCCGAGTTTCGGTCCGAGGAGCGAGAAAAGCGAGACGGCTTTTGGGGAAGTGATGAACAATCATCATCATCAACAACCATCATCATCACTTCTTCTGAGAAGGACGATGAAGAGGAGTTGCTCCTGCTGCTGGTCTGCCTGCATGCAAATGTAGCCAACACTTTCTCCGCCGTTTATGCCTGCCTCTGACTTTTAAGATTTGACATAGGAAAGGATGGTTCACTCACAAACAGACAAAGCGCGTGTTTATTGAACCGTGGTCCGGGAGTGGAGTAGTTTGAGGAAGGCACGTTTCAAAAGATTTCAAAGCAACAAACAATTCGTGCAAGCCCACGGAAGAAGAACTCTCTCTCTTCTCTCCCAAAGGGCCTGCCCAGCCTTCTCCGTCACGCATGAAAGCTAATAAATTAAATATTATCATCCCAGAACTGCCCAGGCTTTGTATGTATTTGTGTATTCGGTAGGTAGGTATCCATGAGAAGTCAGGAAAAATTACCCTCTCGCTTTCCTCGTCTTCTTGAATGAACAACAATTTCAATAAATCCATCTGCTCAATGGGAAGCGTACACTCATTAGCATGGTTTTTTTTCATGAAGCAAACACATTTTCAAAATTTTTGCAGCTTTATGATAATGTGATGACAATTGTGAATTCGCACGAATAGCGCCTGCGCCAGGTGAATATACAATTGTCTTAAAAACTGATTGTTTCCACCCATTTCCTTGGTCAACATTGCTTCAAATTTGTACTCGCAGCGGGCCTGCTTAATGTCATGCAACATTAATACGAGGAAGGAGCAGCGATCTGTTCTTTATTCCTATTCTGTTATAAAGTTGTGACAGAAGGATTGAAAGTTGAAAAGCTTAATGTCAGCCTTGATTGCTCTTAAAGTTCTCGTTAACATTGTCAAGCAAAGTCTTTCATGAATGTGCCTCCCTTTGTCTGATGAGTCCCTGCTGGAAGCCTCATTTAATTTCCTTGTTCACTACTCTCTCTCCCTGTGTGCTGCATACGTACGTATAGAGAAAGACACGACGGCTTTTTGAGTCGTAGGATGGAAGAGAAGGTGAGTAGCCCGAGTCGATTTTATTAGTCGTAGAGAACGCTTGCCAATGTTCTGGGGCCAGCCAAGAAACGACGACGCCAAAAGCAAGTCCACTTTCATGTCCTACATGGTACTGCTCGGCTCTTCGTTAGCATTGTGGCAGGAAAAAGGCATGTCTTCCTAGTGGATTTATTCTTTGTCCCAGGTTTCAATTAAGGAGGAAACGGGCATCTTTATACTCTCACCTTCCTTCCGATTCACCGTCCAACTAATTATATATTGAGACTTCTCTACAAAACCGTCTTGCTACCTCCTTAATATATTTCTCACCCACGACGAAGTTCAGTTTATCAGCCTCAAGGCTGGTTTTTCTTGGCACTCATAATCAACTTCTTTATTGCTGTTCTCTCACTCTCTCTCGCTCGCCATTGTGTGTCTTCTTGCTCTCAGCGAGTCTTGAAATCAGACTAATTTAAATAACTGAGGTGTAAAATTGGCCAAGGAAATCCTTGTTTGCTTTGTTAAACCATGACACCTCAGTGTGGCACGACGCTGGAGAGAAGTTGAAAGGGGTGACCTGGTCCACAGTCAACGTTCATTTCCGTTAATTCCGCTTTTGCCACTTTCAGATCTGTCTTTGCAAACAAAAGGAACCCTCCTTGAGTGCTGCTGGTTGTTTTTGAAGCTTCATTCCGGTGGCAGGCAGATAGACATGGCCTATAAACTCCAAACTATATATTGGATTTTGAAGTTGAGACTTTCAAAAGATGCGAGCTTTCTGATACCTCCTTCGCAACTTGAGTGTTGCACTGTTCGTTTACGATGTTCAATTCATACTTGTCTATAAGAAGTTTATGTATTTAATTAAGGAGCATAAAGACGGAAATCAAGCATACAATTTTTTTTAATGTGGATTAGATTAGCACTTAGATTCGTGTTGTTCATACACTTGGTCGATTCTATCGTCGAGAAACATGGTTTCTTCTTGAGCGAAGCTATTCATAAAGAAGTTTCAAGTATTTCAGGGATGCTTACGTAACTTTCTCTATATTCGAACAAAGTTGTTGAACAACAAACCTTGAATTATCTAAGCTCTTGCAATGTATCTACATACGTGGTTATGGCGTAATTTTCAATTAAATTACATACTTACATGCACATATGCATGCTTACATCAGTGTAAACAGATTATGACGCCAAAACTGTTCCTACTCAACTTTTTCTGGAACTGGAGATTTTAGTATCGCTATAGATTTCAGTAGTATCCGTTGATGATAACGATGGGATGTTTGAACAATGAACTTTCATCTCGAGAAGCCAGGTCATGACGGAAATGGTGTGACTTCTGAATACAAATTAGTACAAGTTGAAGAAAACTCATCCAGAGGCCAATAAGTGAAAGGAGAAAGCCGTGCCAAATGAATGACTTGCCTTGAAACCTTGTATGCACCAAGGTTTCAACCTGTTTACAGAGCTTTGTATTGCAACCAAGTCAAGAAAGACGTGAATAAAATGTACCTCCACCTTCGACTCCTTCCCACACTCATTAATGTCGTAATTGTCCACGTGTTGGCAAACACTGAGCAAAAATTTGTAATTTTATGCATAATAAAATTCATCGATTGTCCAATTATAATCAAATTAAGGCAAACTTTTGATCTCATAATCACTAATAAACTGCAAACAAATGAAGATGATTGCCCAATCTGCAAGTTAAAATAGTACTTTGACATAACACGTAAATTTGATTTTTAACATCATCTCTTCTTTAATATTAAATTTTTAAATTATATTAAATCTCAAATATTAAAATTCATCGTAGCAGAAAACACTCAAGTGAAACATCAAACAAAATGAAATATCTTTGAACCTTTAAGAAATACATACCCTCTTCTCTAATATAGATTCATTGGCAATTAGCATTTTCATATTGTTTTTCTTTGTGCCGAACACGAATCAACATGAAAGAAAATTTTTGTTCAAAATATTTTCCTTTTATTATCGATGAACACTCCGGAGCTTTAAAGTCGGGCAGACTTGTTGTCAGAGAGAGGAGTGAAATATTGGAGTTTTATCTTGTCCTGTCCCACCAGTAAATCCGAGTGATGTTTTTGGCAGCAAATGGGTTAAGCTGATTATCTCGTTGTCAGTCTATTTTACTCACATAAACCTGCTCAATATTAAATGACTTTCTCCTATCTCTCGTAAGATCCTCTCAGGTTTTAATTCTGATCTGGAAAAAATGGGCGCCATCTTAAGTATGGCGTCTTAAGTCGTCTCTTTATTTCGGCACAATTACCAGCAATCTGTTGTCCTTAAGTATAGTTGACTCACTCTTGAATGTTTCGTCTACAGGTCTTTCCACACTTTGAGGAAAGTATTTAGCTGCAAGTCGAAACTGCAGCAAACCCATTATTAAGAGGTTAAAAGTGCAGCCTGACAGATTCAAGAGATAAAAATATTAGGGAGAAAGTGTGTTCGGGGAGAAGAGCCGAGAAATTTTATAGCTCGAAAGGAGTGCTAATCTTGCTAAAGACATGTTTTATGTTCGGTGGAAACGAACTTTATATGAAATATGGAGCCAATGGTTTTCTATTATTTGAGAGACGACCAGCAGAAGAGTCAACTCGAGGTAAAGAAAATAAAATAAAATCCTCGTCAACTCGAGTCCAGTCTTCGCCTC